ATCCGAACCCTCGGACGGGAGCGCCGCCGCGCTTCCCAAGCGGCGCACTATCCAGTGCGCCACCGGGCCGGCCCCGAGCATCAGGATTTTTGAAAGCTCCCTACATTATTCTAAGGTACAACAGCCAGGTTTGAGAACCACTAGATTCGAGGATCTCACAGAGTCCAGGAATCCAATTAGCTAGGGCTGGGGCTGGGGGTCGGGGCAGGAGCCACAGAGGTCATGGAATATAAACACTTCTTCCAGGGACCAACCCTGTGGTCAGTGAGAAGAGTGCAGTTCTCAGAGAAGAGGAAGTCATGGGCTGGGCACAGTTTCCCAAAGGTGCCCGCCACGTCCCGCCCCTCGGCTGCCCAGTACCCTCAGCCAGCCTTTTCCGTATGTGTACAAACCTGCTCTGACTTAACTGCACCTAACTGAGCTTGATTCACATACAACTTCGAAGTTATTAACTTTCCCCCACCAGAGGCAACCAAAGTCATGTCCAGCTATTACATCCGAGGCAGTGACATTGGGACACTGTTCTCGGTGTCCACTGTTTTTATGGGTGTCCATTCCTTTTCTAGTTCTGTAACCATCCCAGTGTCAATCAGGACTCTTAGTTGCAAGCAATGGAAACCCACTCTGGCTGATGTAAATAGAATTTATTGAAATGATATTTGGCAGCTCATACAACCATCAGGAGCACTGCAGATCGAGCCTAGGAGCTGGGCCAAAATAGGGAACATTTGGAGTAAAGCCAGGGCTACAGGACCAGTTGGTAATGACATGGCCACCATGCCACAGCTACTTGATGCTGGATGCCACAGCTTACGCCGCTGCCAGTGCTGGCCCTGGAAAGTCCATGTCCTTGCTGCTGCTGCTGCCACTGCCCAACAAAACATCTTCTCCGCCAGCCCAGATTCTCCCCATCACCGGCTCCCATGTCAGAGTCCAGGGCGGCTCCATCCCATGGGCTGGCCTCGGTCACAGGGCCAGCACCTCCGCGTTACAGGAGGCTGGTGGGGGAGAAGTGAGATTTTTGTGTCTGTAGTGGCGAGGAAGCAGGGCCTCCCAATGAGGCTTTTAAGTAGGAAATTCCTCAAACTTAGGGGAAGAAGTCTGTTATGATTCCACTTCACTGTTCTGCAACCTGGACCGATCGGAACCCTAAAGACCACTATTCCTAAGCGGGAGATACGGCCAATGACAGAAGAAATGAAATCTGCCCTGAGACAAACAAAAGCCCATGGCTTCAGCCACGCGATGGTTTTGTTTTCCGTTTTTTGTTTTTACCCCAGCAGCACCAATGCTTTACTCTTTTTGACACTGGCTTTTTCCAGTTCCACTTAACTACTATTAGGACGGCCCAAATACCATGCTGCTTTCCCCCAGCATTATGATCTCATCCAGCTTTTCTGCTTTCTGGGCTGCTGTCCCTGTGGCATAGGAGCTTGAGTCTTCACAGCAGATTGCAACACGTCAAGAGCTATGTTGTAACATAGAAATGGATGACGGTAGTTTTATGGAACTTGCCCTGATAATTCTGATCCATAGAGTCCCAGAGCAGCCGAGGTTCGGGAATGCCCTGGAATGCTGTGCTCTCCCCTCCTCCTTTCTTACCTGGTTCCAATGTCTATTCACAATGTCCCAGATCCCAGACATATAATGTCTCTCCCTCACCTCTAACTTTCTAACTGCATCAGTTTCCTAGGGTGGCCACAAGAAAGTACCACAACCTAGCAACTTAACACAACTTTACTTCTCACAGTGCTGGATGCCAGAAGTCCAAGATCAAGGTGTCGGCAGGGCTGGTTTCTTCTGGGGTCTCTCTCTTTGACTTGTAGATGCTGTCTTCTCCCCGAGTCCTCACATGGTTTCCCTCTATGTGTGTCTGCGTCCTGATCTCCTCTCCTTATAAAGACACCAGTCCTACTGGACTAGTGCCCACCCACTGACCTCATTTTGCCTTAACTACCTCTGTGCAGGCCATATCTCCAAACGCAGTCACATTCTGAGGTACCAGGGTAAGGACTTCAGCATATGAATTTGGGGGTGGGTGGACACAGTCCAACTCATAGCACTAAGCAATTACTTGGCACTGTGCTGGATGGGCACTGTGGGGTGGTGAGAAACGGCTCAGGACCCAGACATGCCTGGGTTGCATCCTGGCCCTGCCACTGGTCCACGTGAAACTGGCAGTTTCTTCCAAGATCTGCCTCCCTGGCTGTGAAACAGGGAGACAGACAGGCCTTCCTCATGGGCTGGCTGTGTGAGGGAAATGAGACCAAGGGCCTGGCACACATGGGGTCCAGGACACATGGAAATCCACATTCTCAGACAGAAGTGTAAGATGGGCCCCCGGTCAGGGAGCTGAGTGCAGCTGGCTTCTGCCAAATTCTTAAGCCCTCTTCAAGGCTTTGGGAGAAGTACCACCCTGTCCACCATCTGTCCGTCCTGTGGCAGCCCTGCTCACCTCCCAGCCCCTCCTCTGACCACCTCTGTCCCCACCCCTGCTGAACAACACCACAACTTGAACTCAAAACTCCTTGTCCAGACCTGTACACTGTCTGCTCCCTTATCTGGGATGTCTGTCACACTCCCTAATGCCCGGTCCTCTGGCCCTGAACCTGCTTCACTCCTATTCACCCTCAAAACAGTTCTGGTGCCAGTGTCAGGTCACCTCCTCCAGGAAGCCTTCTTTGACCACTGCCTCAGTGCTTCCTCAGCCCCCAGGGTTTCCCCTGTCACTGTCTGCTCTGATGACAGCAGGGGGTTGTCACTAGATGTGGAGGAGCCCCATGAAGTCTAAGAGCATGTCCGAGGTGTCCATCATGGGCCTGTCACAGAGGGTTCACTCTGTGCCCTCTTCCCATGAGAATGAACATGGCATTCAGGAGAGCCTTGAACTGGGTGCAGCGCTGTGTGGGAGGCATGGGTGCGAGGGCATGGGAGTTTGAAGAGGGAGCATGTGCTGGTGGTTTGGGAGAGCCCAGTAGTTCTACATATTTTGTGAATATGGAATAACTTGGAATCTCTAATGTTTGGAATTCTCTGCATGGATTGCCCTAGGACCTTCCCAGCAAGGAAAAGACCCTCGTGGAGGAGCAGAGGAGGGACTCAGAAGGGACTGTGAGTGGACCCAAGAATGGAAGAGGATAGCCCCCAGCATGGGGCGGGCTGCCCTCCCAGCAGGGACACTGTCTGGGCAGCCGCACTGGGGACCAGGGCCTCTGTCCCCTCCCTCAACCACAGTCTCCTCGGCATCATCTCGGAGGTGGCTGTGAGGTCACGCATGGCTGTCTCAGAGCTGTATTTCTTACACTCTGCGCAGCCAGCTGCTAGGAACGTACCTTGTTGGAAATAAATTGAAATGTAGGGGGGACATAGAATATAAGTAGTAGAATTGTAAAAAAATATATAACCTTAATGTACGCAGTCTTGTAACAATGCATAAGCAACGCAGCTTATCAGGGGCCGTGACAAAGGTCAGGCCCGAGCACGCTAAACATTAATAGCCCCCACCGGTTTCAGGAAATAGCTGGTTCAAAGGCCACCAAGCCAGACCCCGGGGAAGGTAAACAATTGAGAAATGCGCTAAAGGGGTGCCAGCCTGCTAAAACCCACCTGTAAACCCAAAAGGCGCCAGCTGAAGCCCACCTGTAAATCTAAAAGCACCACAGATAACCAACAGTTGATCCTATCACAATATCTGTTCAAAAAACTGTATAAAAGCTGCTTGCATTGTGAATTCGGGGCCGCTCCTGTCCTGAAAACAGGGCGATCTCCAGCATGCCGGAAATAAAAACCTCTTGCCTGTGCATCGATCTCTGTGCCTCCTGGTCTTTGCGAGATGAGCCTTCCCATCAAGTTAAGATTCGTGCTTTTGGGCCGGTCTTACAACCTTCCTCCATTCACCCACGGAACAAGGGCTTAGTGAGCATCAAAGGTGTGCCCCATAAACGAGGGGGCCGCAGCACACCCGCAGACCAGCCCTGCCCTCGGGGGCCAGAGACTGAGGCAGAGAAAAAAATCAACATGTTAGCAAAGAGGTAAAGGAATATGAAGGGGATAAGAGACATAAAGGGGGCAGGTCACTGCAGGGCAGGGGACATCAAGGTGGGGGAACCTGGTTAGCATGATGGGCAGGAAAGGCTCTCTGCAGAGGTGGCTTCTTGGCTGAGACCCGAAGGACAGGGAAGATCTGGCTAAGCAAAGAGGCAGGGAAAGCAGGCAGGTGCTTGGGGGCTCTAAGAACCGTGCAAAGGCCGGGGGCTGCCGCCAGTGAGTGAAGGTACCGCGGCTGAGATGTGCCTGCAGGGGTGGACAGAGGCCAGCGCAGCAGGTGCTCTCAGGAAACCATGAGGAAGGGGACAGGCAGGGAGTACCAGCACCATGTGCAAAAGTCGCAGGAAGCTCGTGCTCCAGAGGCGGGCAGCGTCAAAGCCATCTGTCTCTTAACTTGGGAGAAAAACAGTCTATGTGTGCCAACAGTGATCTTCCAAACAAATAGAGAGCTATTCATCAGGGACAGTGACCCGTTGTTCTGGTCCTCTGAGATGGGAAAAAGCTGGACTGTCACAGCAAGACATAATGAATGACTTCCTGCTTGGAGGAGATTCTGCGGGTGTGTGTCATCTTGCCCAGGACCCGTGGGGTCAGAGGGCAAGGGCCTCCCCGGACCCCATTTCCCAATGGAACCTCTCCAAAAACCAGTTTCATTTTTTGCAAACTACAAGCAAATGTGCTGCTCATCAAGTTTCTTGACTCTTACATAAAGACTCCGAAGGAGAATGATTGGAATTTAGGGCCAGAAACAACCCTGTCTCTTCTGATAAAGTTATCAGAAAACAAAAACCATATAAATGGTCATAATTTGAATTTTGCTTTGGTTGCCAGGAAACTCAGGGTCAGGCTGAGGTGTAGTAATTATATCACTCCAGGTTTCTGGCACAATTTTTCCTCCTTGTTTCAATCGTTTCCTAAAACAAAAACAAAACAAAAAGTTTCACTAGTCAAACATACCATCCGCTTTTGTGTGGTTTTCTTTTGATCTTTAGCCACATGAATGCGGCTTCCACGTAGTCAGAACTGCACATTCACGCTCGCTTCTGTTTTCTGTTTTTTCACATAGTATTAGTTCACAAATACCATATTTCTACTTGGATATCCTTAAAAAAATTCTTTTTTATTGAAACATAATTGATTATACATGTCTGTGGGGTACAGCATTGAATATCAATACCCGTGTGCAATATGTGATGCTCAAATCAGGATAATTAGCGTATTCAACATTATACAATGTAGTCATTTTTTGTGGCCCTTCACCAATTCCTCCCTTACCCCCCAACACTAGGGTGGTCTCTTCTGCCTTTTCAACAACCGCACAATATTCCATTGACTCACTGAGTATTGATATAGTTCAATCTGATTGCTCTACCACAAATGGGCTATTATTGGAGATCGCGTTTTTTTCTAGATTTTCACTGTTATAAATAATACTGCTATTACAAAAATAAATGAGTAAAGATTATGAAAGGAAGTCATGAAAAGAGAAATACGAAGGGCTAAGACACCCATGAAAAGTGTTCAAGCTGTCTGATGATTAGAGACATACATTGAAACAAGACAGCTGTTTCTTTTGCCTGTGGAAATAGCCCAGACTAAACAACAATGTTCCTCAATGCTGGGGAGGAGGCGGAGAGACCCACAGCTCCTGTGTGTCTCTTCCTGAATGTGAACTTGTCAATTTCTAGGTCCAGTGATGACTCTTCTGGGCCATCCATGCTAAAAGCCCTGGAGACACAGCTGAGCCCCTGTGGAAATAGCCCAGAGACATACATTGAAACAAGACAGCTGTTTCTTTTGCCTGTGGAAATAGCCCAGACTAAACAACAATGTTCCTCAATGCTGGGGAGGAGGCGGAGAGACCCACAGCTCCTGTGTGTCTCTTCCTGAATGTGAACTTGTCAATTTCTAGGTCCAGTGATGACTCTTCTGGGCCATCCATGCTAAAAGCCCTGGAGACACAGCTGAGCCTACAGCCGACCAGTCTCACTGCAGCATGATTTATAAGCCTGCAAAATGTAAACGACTGAAAAGTCCCATAGTAGGAGAGTGGTTAAGTAGACGTGTGTACAGCTTTCCTATTATCCACTCAATAGATGTGTAATGAAGATTTCTAAGAAGACAGGGATATGTTTATGCTACAGTATTCAGTGAAAAACGGAACCCTAAGTACAAAGTCGCTTTCAGATGAGCATGGGACCGGGAGTCAGATGACCTCAATGCAGATCCCAGCACTGTCAATCTCTGGCTGTGAGACTCCTGGGTCAGAGACCAGGGACTTCACTATTCATGGGAAAATAGCAGCCAGAGCTCAGCATGATGCTCACACAAGTTCCCTGTGTCTCCTGAGTCCTGGGGAGGGGGAGGCCAAGGGCCCATCATGAATGCCTACACACACAATGGACTGCATTACACAGGGAACACTGAGCTCGGGGAATTTACCTCTTTCACGGTAAAGTTATCTGGAGGGAGATGTTACTTCCTCCCTCAAGGCTGCTTGCTGCAAATATCACCCTGAGACATGGGTACCTCTGAGCGGCCAGCGCTTTGCATTTTTGGCATACTTGGCAAGAATGTGCAGGGATGCCTGGGACCCATCCTGGATTGCCTCCCGTGACGTTGGAGTGTAGTTGACAAGAATCTCAGGCCTTTAATCTTCCAGTTGGTCTCTGAAAGCCGAGGTCTATCCAGAAATGGAGCAGGGGACTGTTTTAGTCTGTTTCTTTTGCTTATAACAAAATACCTGGAACTGGATAATCTGTAAAGAAACAATATTTATAGCTTACAGTTTCAGAACCTGGGAACACACCTGGTGACAGCCTTGCTGGTGGTGATGGTGACACGCAGGGGTCTCACATGGCAGAATGGCAGAGCACAGAGAGAGACAGCACTCATTCGTTTTCCTTTTAAAGTGCTCAGAACCACACCCATGACCACCATTAAATCATCAATTTATCAATCCATTCACTAGGGCACGGTCCTCACAATCTAATCATCTCTTCAAGGCCCCACCTTTCAATAACCATATAGGATTTCTCACCCTCTTAACACTGTCACAGTGGGGGCCAAGTTTCTAATACTTGGAATTTTGGGGGACACATTTAGCTTCAATGAGTTGGAGGGAATATTCAATCCACAGCAGGGGCCTAGAATCAGCCTGGGATTTGGGGACTGAAGTATTCTTGGAAGCAGCCTGACCCATCTCCTTCTCCTTTTTTTTTTGGCAGCCACGGCTGGTAGGAGGATCTGAACCCATGACCTCAGTGTTATAAGGCTGCGCTCTTACCACCTAAGCTAAGCAGCCAGCCCCATCTTCATTTGCAGACAGGGAAATTGAGGCCCAGAAAGAGACTTGCCCAAGGTCAGGCAGAGAGCAAGTAGGAGGTCAGGACTGATGCTTCCCTGCTCAGTTCCTGAGGGCACATCACTGTCACCACCATCGCAGGTCACTTGGTGGGGCCACTCCACAGATGTATGTCCCTCGATTCTCACAATCATATGAAATCCTATCACTGGCCCCATTTGACAGATGAGGAAATAGGGCACCAAGGGGGTAAGTAACTTGCTCAAGGCCACGGAGCCAGGACATGGCGGAGCCTGGATTGGAACATGGGTGGTCTGGGCTCAAAGCCCATCCCTTCCTCGACTCTCAGTCACGACCTCTAAGGGGTCCTGGGGGTTCTCACGTTGGGTCCTAATTTCCTGACACCTCTTGGCTGACTTTCCAAGTCACTAACCACAGGGACAAGAAGATCTGGAGAGGTTGTGGAGGACATTCCTGGGACAAGGACTGGAGTGAGTGCCTAAAATGGGGGGAGGCTTAGAACCAGAGTAAGCTCCTGGAGGTTTGGGAAAGGCTGACGAAGGTCTCCCTCCCGGCTGCTGCAGGCCTGGCTCAAGCCTTCCCTGCCCAGTGAGTCCCTCCGAGTGTCGAGGGCAGTGCCGATGCCCAGCTGTTTGAATGATAGTCACCCACTCCTACTGTCCTTGCTTCCTCACCCCCTCCCCACTCCATTCTCAGCCACCCATATCCAGGCCACTCCCTCCTCTTCCTCAGAAAGGACCCAGGACACATCACCAGTGGCCACCCTGCTCTAACCCCAGCAGTTCTCAGTCCTAGCCTCCCTGGCCACTAGGCTGCACTTGGTATTCCCAGCCAGAATCATGCACTGAACCCTTCTGGGACGTCCCTTTTTCCTGGCTTCCTCCTCCTTCCCCTCAGCCACCTTCTCTTGATCCTCTCAACTATATCCAGGGCACGCTTATTCTCCCATGGCTCAAAAGAATCAAATTAATACCAAAGTCCTAATAAGTCTCCAATCTGTCCCCTGCTCAGAGTTCCCCCCGCCACCCACCTAGCTATCTGGCACCCCCACACCATCTTGGGTCAGAAGGGAGCAGATCATCTTGCTGAGCTGCCCAGGAGCTCTGGTGCCTCAAGGCCTTTGCAGAGGCTATTCCCTCTGCTCAGGAAACACCTCTCACCCTCTGCTCATTTTCCATGGCCTGTGTTCCCTCTTGCGAGAGGAGGCCTCCTAACCTCGGAGGCAGCCAGCAAGTGGGCCTCTTTCATGAGCTTTCCTAGGATCTTGGCAGACCTTAAACGCAGGAGGTATCCTGTGCAGAAATGAATCTCCTGTCTTTTCGGTTTTGATTTTTAAATTTAACATTCATTCAGAAGGCACATATCTGGGCCAGCCCGGTGGCGCACTGGAGAGTGTGCCGCTTGGGAGCGCAGCGGCGCTCCCGCCGAGGGTTCGGATCCCATGTGGAGACCGGTTCCCGCTCACTGGCTGAGCGCGGTGCGGGCGCAACACCGAGGGTTGCGATTCTGTTACTGGTCAGTAAAAAAAAAGACAAAAAGGAAAAAAAAAGAAGAAGGCACATATCATAAGTGAACAGCTGGATACATTTTCACACACTGAACCCAACCTCGGAACCA